ATGCCTCGGGGCCTGCCTGCAACAGTCCCTTCAGACGATAGGATGTTGTCACGGTTTCAAGGCGCCCTTCTTATACATCCAGATTGACGCGCTCATCATTCAAGCTGATGATGCACGGGCTGTCGCCGGTCAACCTGATTACTGTGAGTTGATATTTGATTTCAGACACCTGTCACGCCTGAGGCGTTCCCCATAGCGTCATTCGACGTATTGTCTCGTTCCCTGTTCTCAGGGAACATAGGTTACAGTTGTAACCTGAGACGTTATTTCACATGTGAACAGTAAGAATGGGGTATTTTTTTTAAAGGACATAAAAATACATTTTAAAGGATTAGTTCACCCCAAAATAGTCAATTCCATTTGGTTGGAATATAGCACATGATACTTATTGGCTCATTTGTGTCATGTTTGTCTTCATTCATTGTAATTGAATGGAAACGAGTGAACAGTTTTACAAACCATGTTTAAAAAACACATTTATTTCACATTTTACATTTTTGCTGCACCTCTCTTCCCAGACTATCAGTAACACGCTGTTTAGTTCCGGCCTCTATAGCTATGTTCACATTTTCAGTCCAAATCCGATTATTTTTCGATTTATTGATTTGTGTATCTGATTGGAAGATCAAAATTGGCTGTTCACACTGTGTATCGCAACTGTTTGGATCTGATTTGATTTGTGTGTCCCTTGGCGCTCTTTCTTTTTCCGGAATATCTGCATTGGTTTCTATGGCAATGATTTAGCATTTTTTTTCATCTCACTTTTTATTTTATTATTATTATTTATTTTTATTATTTGCTTATGCCTTGGGCAGGAATTATGTAAATGATATTGTGACATTTTGCATTCCTGGAAGAAAACTCAAATCTACAATTGATGTGTTTCAGAAACTGCTTACTGATAGACAGAATCACTGTCTTTAGAGTGGACTTTGTAGATCCATTTTAGTGCTCAAATAGCAACATTACACACTAAAGAATCTTGAAAAGGTAAAAAAAATCATAGGCTAATAGGATTTAAATAGGTTTTACATAAGAAAGAAACTCATACAGGTTTGGAACAACATCAGAGTGAGTAAATGATCTAATCTTTTATTCATGAACTAATGAACTAATCCTTTATCTTTCCTGTTAACCTCATAAAAATGAATGACGCAATGGACAGACAGCCTGCGAAATAAACCTTGTAATTTGGAGCACAGCTGGAACAGACATAAAGCATTACACTGAGATAATATCATGAGAGCAGCTGTTTTTTTTTTTCTTTTCTGTTGATGGATAGCTCAAATACTCGTTGATACAATGAGCACAAAAGTGCCTGCCACCATCTGAGCGCTTCTGAGTTGGTCTGCTCTTGGATGCTGGATTTTAAGTATAAAGAGGCTTAAGCAAGCAGGCACTGACTCAGACACTTAGTTATTGTTGGGGCTCATTTAGAGATACATTAATCAGCCCTTGGCTGTGTTTCTGACCACTGGTCTGCTAGATCTTCAATTCACCTTCATGAAGTGTAGGTGAACTGACAAATGTACACAGCATTGTACTCACAAAAAATATGCATGTACTATATACACGTGTATGTCCATAACTACAGATACACAGTACAATTAGTTAATCTATCTATCTATCTGTCCGTCCGTCCGTCCGTCCATCTATCTATCTTCTAACAAAAGTAATGTGCATTTTCATTTACACAAACAAAGACAGACAGTATTTTTATGTTGTTTAAATTAACAAATGAACACATGGACCATGCTTTATGAACACACCATGGTTTGAGTAATTCATTTTTTGCTGATCTTCAATGCCCTTGCAAGGTGTTTTTACATGAAAATGTTGAAAAGTCTAAATGTGCCCACCCAAGTTGTTCTGACAAAACAAAAGATGAAAAGGATTACAATTAATTTTCTCAGATTGCATAGTCAGTGCAATTAACTTCACCCGATTAATGCGTAATTAACTTGAATCCTTAGACCGCATGAATAACCATAGGTCTCATGGCAACAGGATTTTTCAGCATAATCCTCACAAAGTGCCATTTTAGGAGGTGCAATTTGCAATTGAACTGATTTGTTTTGCTAAGCCATGTATGTTCTTTTACTGAAGATACAATCTTATTTTATAAGACATCACTGGTATATTTTTTTCATAACTTTTTCTCGTTTTTCTACCTTGTTCTGTTATCAGGAGTGGAATTTGGGTTGTTCATTTAGACCACATAGACTTGACATTAAGTCTCAGGAGCTGTTAAAGGTTACAGGTATAGTGTGCAATACCAAGACATCAGGAGAGACAAGAAATTCTGCACTGAGTCTGCGTGTTGCATGTTTGTCCTCTAATATCTGAGAGCCCAAAGCCAGTAGACCCATGAGCGACACGCTTTATGAGAGAAATAGTGTCAAATTTAAACTTACTGTAAATATAGACAGCAGCCATAGTCAACAAGCATCTACAGCCTTTGTAAAAGATTCACTTAGTAGGGAATATAATTCACTGTAGCAATAAAAGTTCCCCCCTGATAATGGGGGAACTTTTATTGTTACAGATGGCTCAGACAGACATCTTTCCAAAACTGCAATAAAAAAACTAAAGGTACTGTGCATATGGAGTGCAGGGGTTCTTCGTTCTTAGGTGAGTTCCACATATGAAACTTCATCATTATTACTGATGATGTCTGCAATTGGGTCACACCCCTCCTCACCTGAGGTCTTATCTCATATGCATAATAACCATTTTACCATGGTCAAGAGACTGGGCTGGGACCATTGTTTCTAGAATTTACTGCTATTTCCATATGGGTCAATAGATTCCACTTCAATCACATTGTGTATATCTGTTTCAAAATCATATCTAAAGCCATATTAGAATGGTAATGGTTTCTTATGGGAATGTAAGGTAATTTCAACATTTACAGGGGCTTGCCTATGATTTTATGGTTGTCCGTATCCAGAATGTCAGTTACAAACACTAAAGCTGTTTGGTCATTTAATTGCCATCAGATCCACATCCTTTGTAACCACTGCCAAGCACCGTACAGTAACTATTTGTGCTTCACATTTTAAATATGAACACTTGTATTTACTGAAATGCTGCAAATTGTTTACAATAATAATATTACATCATCGTTCCAGTACAGCAAGTGGAAGCTTTTAAAGACCTACTGTGGTGAAAATCAAGTTCTTCATGTTGTTTATATGTCTATATGCATTCAAGCTATTTTAAGGTATCAATAAAACATTTTCACAAGAAAAGTTCAGTTCCCCAAGCCCACAGTGTCCGGCAATCAGCACCCGGAGAACATTCTGCCCTTGGCCACACATGTAAAAGCATAGGAAGTGATTCCGGGGGTTTCAGAGTGGGTGCTGAGCACAAAAAGACAGGGCTATGCCGCCCCACGCATTTCGTTTCACAGACCGAGTCGACAGTGAGTCGACTCATTCCCTGGGAGTGGATGCTTGGCACGCAAGGGGTTCCTGTAGCGTAAGCTAAACTTACGCAATAAGAGAGAACCTCTCGTAAGAGAAGGTACTCGGTTAAGCCTCGGTTCTCTCTAGAGAGGGAAAGAGTAACTGGCCACAAGCAATTTTCGATTCAGATGATGAAACCAGGGAAGCAGCCTCCGAGCCGTGCTTTTATGTATGCTAAGCCACACCCACTTGGCGGGCTGTGAAGCGTAGTGGGTGCGAAGCGGTAGGCTGCTGCAGTTATCGCACAGCAGCCAATGAGCACACTAGACAGCCTGCTCTAGGTCTGCTATCTGCTACAGTGCGGAATGCAAAATTAACGATAAGAGAGAACCAAGGTTGCGTTAGGTAAGGTGCATTTCTCTTGTTGCTATGCGGTGTTCTGGTGGTTTTTATCTTTTAGCTTGTCTGTAGTCTGATTACTTATTAATTAATTATTAATTTTGTCACCTGTTTCTATTGTCCACCAGAAGTAAAATGTAAGTTGGATCACACCTCTCTTCATTCATCTCCATAGAACAGTTAGTGCAGGACAAGATTTGGGTCACAAATAACAGTGATGATCGCCTGAGCAAGTGGCATTAAGCCCTGCAACATGTTACAAATATAGTGCATTAAGTAGAGGCTCAAATTTTTCGATACACATTCAAAACTGTTTTTTTTTTTTTTTTTTTTTTTTGCTTTGGCTTGAGCTTATTAGCATCTCTTGAGAGGAGGTTTCCATAACAACACCGAGGCCCTCTTTTCAAAGAAAGTCATTAATTTCTCCAGCAGAGTATGGATCCTTTGTCTCGTAAAACATTCTATCTGCAGACACTAAGGATAATGCTGGCAGTCTCTGCGTTCCTTTAATTCTTGCTTTGCTGGCAGGAGTTTAAAAAAATGCATAAAGGATTCGTTATATTTAAGGTCTTGTTTTATTTAAGGCCTTATTATTATTATCATTAGTATTTTTTACAAAGATCAGTCACTCACTGGCCAGTATCTTATATACTGTAGACTCCAAGAGAGCAAGAGATAGATTTTGCTTTGAAAGAACTCTCTAACCTTGTCAGACTACCAAAGTATGGTACTTATTATTGTCTGAATTTACTACTCCATAATTTATAAAGGGTTGTCTTTCCGTGAGTTTCTCACTCTGGCAAAACAGCATTTAAAAAAAAAAAATCCACATTCAGCTCTGTGAACCTGCCATGTTTAACTCTGTCAATATGCAGTTAATTCCCTGTTCCTAGAGTTTGTGTGGTCATTTTACTTCCCTGGTCCAATTTCTCCATCCAGGCAAGGGCGGTTCTTATCGGCAGAGCCTGCATGGAGGCACAGTTGCGTAATGAGTCACACGCAACACCCCATGACTGAGCAATGTGCATTGTGTCATTTTTGTTCTATCTGGCTGGACTAATATTCTCAGACATAAACCTGGTGTTTCACTGGCTGGGGGACTAATGGTCAGATTGCATTTGTGTAAAAAATATTCCTGATATGTTTAAAACATTTTGACTGCAAAGCATAAAGTCATGTGGAGATTTGACTCACCGAAACAACTCATTACAGACTGGACATCAGCCGAGTCCACAACCATCATGGCAGATGTGGGAATCTATACCTTGCAGATGCTGAGAAAAATAGGATCTCAAGGAAAGTAATATTGATTTTCTCAGGCTGTGAGACTCCCACAGGTCGCTCCATTTTCACACTTCATCTTCCATCTCCAGCCTCATGTAATCACATATGCTCATCAACAGACCTAGGCCTCCTCAACTGAAACCAAGAGAGGAAAGAAACATCAACCATTGACCTTGCAAAAAATATCATAGAGAAACACAATCAGTGATTGTCATATTTTATTTGTGTCCTGAACCTCAGTGGAACATTTGAAAATGTTAATCATTAATTCAGATGACACAATATGTAAATAACTAAACAAAAAAACACTCCAAATTGTGATTGAAATAATAATCCAATTCTATTTCCAGAAATTAACATTTGATTCCAGCCCACTATTATTACGAAGTAAAAAATCTCAAAATTGACAGATGCATAAAAAACAGCTGTTTACACAGCTCAGAATGTTTCCTCTTCAATGAGAATGTGAGTGCTCACATCAGGCCTGCACTATCGTCCTGTTTGTGTAGTTGCGGTCATCCCTGGGATGCTTCAGCACCACAGAGAGTAGTTTCCTGAAAGAACATACATGGTTTGACACTGTGTTTTAAGAAACCATATTCAAACCGTGTGTTTCACGGGTTGAGTGCATTCGTGAGTGGTCATGAGAGCATGACCATGTCGGCACGTTGTTCGTCTCTCCTTTCTCAGCTTGAGCCGGGTGACAGCACAGGTTTTCACGGCAACCCAGCGCACATTGTTTAACGCTCTAGATCTGCGGTCAAGACTCAAGTGCCTCAAATGAGATGGAGTCCCTTTTTCTATTCCCTGATCTAGTTCCTCTTCTGGTGCATGGCCACCAGAAAAAGACTTCTTTGGCTAATAGCACTGGTGATCTGAGGATTACAATGAGCATTCCCCATCGAGACCAACTTTTCAGCTCCAGGGGAGGATCAGATGTCGATCGCTGCATTGGAGAGAAGGCTGTTATCCTCTGGAATAAAGATGATGCTGAGTTCCCCACTATAATGGTGCGTGTGCTCATGCTGAATGAGATTCAGACTTGACGGCCACACTTTCCCAGGCTTTCCGGGGCTACCTGTGCCTGCCCGCAAGCCAAACATTCCAAAATCTGTAGAAAAAGTTTTTCCTCTCTCACTACTCTTGGTGGTGGGGCAGCTTAGCTAATTGCTGACTGCCTCTTCCTTGCATGTGATGGCAACCCTACAAGTCTGTGGAAGGCCAAAACACTCAATGCACGATGGGAGTTCTGAGGCAGGGATGAGCTGCGCATAGTGATTGACTGTGGTTTAAGTCACAGCACTGGCCCTCGCTCAGACAATGTCCACACTGGTGGTCCAGGAGCCCACCATGGCTAAACCTTGCTGAGATGCAAGACATTGTCAAAACATCGCTTTTGATGCTCCCATCTCACAAGGTGGCTTTTTTTTTGGCAACACTGTTGGAGGCTGTGCCCAGCGGTCCTCCACAGTTCAGAAGCAGGTTGAGGTAACCTAGAGCTTGTCCCGATGTGCTAACTAGGGATCGACCGATATGGATTTTTTAGTGCCGATACCGATACCGATTTTTTCCCATCAGCCTTAGCCGGTGACCGATACGGGCTGCCGATTTTCTTGAGCCGATATTTGTAGCCGATACATTTTGCTCCCTCAATTTACATCATAAAAATGACGTGATGTTAACAAATGTTACAGGTCTCAATGGACTTTATGCACAGCTGTACTTCCTGAACTTAAGCCAGCTCCTTGTTTCCTGTCTGCCATTATTGGCCAAATTGATTAATCCAGGTGTGCTTGACCTCCATAGTCACGGCAACAATAATCAGACACACCTGAATTAATCAAGTTCGGCCAATAATGGCAGACAGGAAACAAGGAGCTGGCTTAAGTTCAGGAAGTAGTGCAGCTGTGCATAAGGTCAATTTAATAAAAGTAACATTGAAATGGGACCACAACAAATGTGACACAGGTTCCATCAGTGCATACAAGTGTTAGGCCTGGCATTTAAGTAACACTTACTGATTTTAAAAGGTTCTGACTATCATCACTACGTATTTGGAACCCCTAAAAGGTTCTATACACTCTTAAAAAAGGGTTCCTCTGGGTTCTATATAGATCCCTGGGGTTCCATACTTGGCCTACCTTTTACCAAAAAACAAAACAAAAAAAAGGTTCCATATAGAACCATTTTGAAGTTCCATATATGAAGCGGGGGATGGAACCATTTCTGGTTCTAAATAGAACCATTTCTTCTAAGAGTGTATAATTCAATTATTTAGCGATTTAGAACAAATCAGTTGAGTGAATGACTCAATGAATTATTTGTTCTTGAATGAATCAACGTTTTGAACAAATCAGTTAAATGATAGATTCCAGTTACTTATTGCCACCTCCTGGCCTAACGATATAACCTACAGAAAGTAATTTTAAAAAATGCAATCATCGGCTATGTATGTAATCTAACATCGCTCCTGTTGCCATATGTCCATTTGAAAGATTATGTGAGTTGCCTGTGACCTCTGTTCACAGCATAGCACATCTTTTTTGAGTCCCTTGCTCCCACTTAAACTTAATGGAGAACATGTCAAGGTAGTAGGATAGGATACTAACAAATTAGGATAAAATGGCTGAAAAGATGCACGTAGCTTTCTTCCCTCTTTCTTTTTTGGGATCTTGTGAATCACTCAACTCAGAGATATGTCCCGAGAGTGCTTCTACTAAAATAGCATAAAATATTATTGCCCATTTGTGACTATATGAGTCTTATCAGATTAGACAATTTGCATGCAAGTAAAATCAGGTGTAGGTGTGTCTGTGGGCACATAAGTATGTTGTAGCATTTTTGGCACTCTGTTGTCATCATTTTGGGCCACGTGGTCCACTTCAGTCAAGAGCAGAATTCAGCAAAAACAACCTTGATATTGAATAAAAATAAGGACCTACAATATTCTTACTGTAGTCTGTTGGATGTACCTGTTTTGCCAGCTTCCCATGTGATAGATGAAATGAAATATGATTACACACAAATAAGTGTTTACAAGGTGTTCACTTTGTCTTGGAGACTTGAAGGAAGAGACAGAACATGGTTTTCCAGCAGGAGAGCAGAAACTGTCCCATCTCCTTTCACACTCACACAAGCAGTCTCTCAGGCTCATGCACCTAACAAACGGAGAGCGAGTTCATGGCAGCCCAGAACAACAGGTTCTAAACCTCCTCCTCATCTGATACTCAGATAGAAACTAACTCAGAGCCCCCCTGGCTACATTTCATCTCTCTCACACAAGAGCCACCATCTAATACGATATGCTGTGTCTAGTCATGTAAAATGCACAGTGAGTGCACCATAATACTATGGTAAATGGTAAATGGCGAGTCAACCTGAAGATCTTTGAACCTTCAATGAAGACTGACTGAATTAAGTTTTAAGTTCAAAAGCCAAAGTGGAGTGTTTTATGGCTGGAGCTGAAAAGGAAGGTGAGAGCAACATTGCAACATTTTGTAATTGTAATTAAATGATTGATTATTAAACTGTAGTAGTAACTTACAGTAATATCACATTTAAATCATGATGATTTTTGGAGGAGAAAAACTGAAATGGCACTCTTCGTGTGATATTGATTAACTACATAAAATGATATATATACATTTTCTAACCCCCATATCTTGAATTTGTGATCATTCACATGCATCAATAAATACATTTTAGGGTCTTGATGTTTGTCAATAATATGAAATACTTAATCCGGAAAGGACAAAACAAATGATAATGAATGAACCCAAAAGGTTCCATGTAGAACCTTTTTCCTGGTTACAAAGAACCCAAAAGGGTTCTTATAATTCAACCCTTAAAAATGGTTCTGTATAGAACCTTTTAGGGGTTCCAAATACGTAGCGCTGATATAACCTTTTATTTAACCTATATAAACCCTTTTCTTCTGTAGAAGAAATACGCATATGGGATCACCATAGGGATCACAACAAATGGGACACATGCTAGCACAGGTTCCATCAATGCATACAAGTGTTAGGCCTGGCATCAGATGCTCTGCCAAGTCCGTTGCTGAGGGGTGTTGAGGAACTCAACAGGGTCAACCCGGTCTCATCCCAAATCGTCATATAACTGACGTTTTGGGACGTCTTTTGACCATACGTCAATATTCGCCTTTTTAGGGCCCCCTTAAACGTCGGTAGATGAGGTTATGGGATCCTAACTCTACCCCATACCTAAACTTAACCCTAAACCTAACCCGTCACCTAACTGACGTTAAAGGTAAAGCGTCACTTGTATGACGGCCCGGGATCGCCATCTACCGACGTTTAAGGGGGCCCTAAAAAGGCGGATATTGACGTATGGTCAAAATACGTCCCAAAACGTCAGTTATATGACGATTTGGGATGAGACTGTGTTAACAGGGTTCGGCTAATGAGGAACTCTACCAGAGAAAGAATGGCCCATGTATCCAGTCCATAGAAGGGGAATGGCACAGCAAGCCGACACTTTGAGTGGGGCTTACGGTGCTTACGGCTTACAGCTTTTATGCGAGGAGAGCACATGCTATATTTCATACTATATTGTTTATGTGAATAGGCTTTGGACAGAGGTGGGACAGGTTTGGGTGGTTGGTTGTGCTGAAGAGCTTTATTATGTATTAGTGTGTACGTTTTCGTGTTATCTTGAGGACCCCCTTTGAAAACGAGATGTTCCATCTCAAGGGGTTATCCTCTAATATATAAAGGATAACCCCATTGAGGGGGCATGGTGCGTCTTGGGATTGATATGCCAAGACGATGGATAAGTTGGATTCAGTCTCCTTGTGCACCTAAGGAACCTGACGATGAGGTCTTTCTTCCCCAAGGATCTCTAATCAACTGCATCGTTATGTGAAGCAATAGCATGCCTCGTAGAGAGTGCCAATCTGTATTGGCTTGTTTTGTTTTTTTTCAATACTCGAAAATGACAGGCTCCCTGAGCGTGATCCCAGTCAGTACGTCCAACTATGTTGAATGTGACCAAACTGAAAGGGAAGCAATAATATAAAATGCGTTTCAATCATATTTGATTGCACATTCAACTGAACATTAGAGTATCAGCAAATGAAGCACATGTAACATCTTCTGTTATGAGACAAATGGGGA